GTTGCCGCGTTAGCATAACTTGCTAATGTTAGCTGGTAAACCATGCTAATGTGACTAACATTATTTAAACTTTAAACAACCTCTGAAATAGTTATTTTTAACTCCATGCTTGTGGTTTTAGCTGAAATTTCTGGTGGGTGTTTAAAATAAAAATATAAAATAGTTAAGCACATTGTTTTGTCTGTAGTCTACCACCTTTTTTAATTAGTTAAGAATTAGGGATGCTCCAATCGCCAATTTTGGGGCCGATCGCCGGAATCAGTATCGGCCGATATCGATCGCCGATCCGATCGAGTGGGCGGGGCCTATGGTGATCTTCCATTTAAAGTGATGTTTAAAACTCAGTTAATGGAGCTCATTCACTGGCGCTTCCAAACAACAACCAACATCATTATTACATTCAAATGAAGTACATTATTCAAGTTTACATTAAATTTGGATAATAACACGGGAGAAATTAGCGGAAGCGCTCTCTTTTCCTCTCTCCCTCTCTCCTGACAGCCCGTCAGTATCTCATGCAGCTCACTGATCCGGTAATGAGTGACCCGACAGTGAAGAATAAATATATTTATAACTAGTTTAGCTTGTTCCAGAGGTAGATAAAATAGCCAAGTGTATTAGCTCTAACTCTGACGGCCCGTCCACACAGCGGCGTGCGTTGAAGCTTCAACGCTTCTGCCCATTCACTTTGAATGGGGTGACGTCACGTTTCGCCAAACTGCATTGTGGGAGCGAAGCGTAGATTTGCTTGCGTTGCTCGCGACGAAAGTTAAGCAATGTTCAACTTTTGAAGCTTTGGCGGAAGCGTCAGCCAATCTAATCATATGCCAGTACAAGCTCTAGCCAATCAAACCGCGTGCTTGTGTGTCCGGGGTGGGAGATTAATGTGATTGGTTGTTGGTGGAGTTTCAGCCTCCCCCGCCGGCCATCAACAAAAAGCATGTTGCAGTCATTGAAGGTTTCTCATTTCTCCTCCTCGAATCCTCGGTACTCCGGTAGTGATCCTCCGGGGATGTATTTCCGGCAACAGTGATCTTTAAAAGAGTCGTGACGCACGGCCGGACTCATCTCAGGGGGGGGGTATATCCAGTCTCTGATAGTGTTACGTTATTATGAGAGTGCTCTCATACTTGTTTGATTCTGAAATTGTATATATTTATATAAATATATGTGTGTATGTGTGTGTCCGCATCTGTAGCCTGTTATTGTCTCATTATACCGCACTGTCAATGAATCAAAGTATATATATATATATAAGTGGTCATGAACACATCTGTCCATCAGACAGGCTGCTGTGCCTCCTGTCATCATTAATGGACGTCTCTTTAAAATGACCGCTCAGAGGAGAGGATTTCTCATTTCTCTAACCGCCTGCTGCTTCCCCTCCTCTCTCCTCGGTTCCCCTCCTCGACTCCTCCGCTCGCATCTCCTGCGGGCGGGACTAAGACAAGAGGATAGGAGTCGAGCAGGGGAATTAGAGAAATGAGAAACCTTCTCTTTGTTTAGTTTGGCTGGGGAGCTAGTTCCTCTTTCCTTCAGAATGTGATATGTGATATGAACAGTGTCCCTTGATAGATTGTGTGAGCTCGAACTGTTACTCCCTGCTAGTTTGCGATTAGGGATCCCAAAAACGCACACAAACATCCTCTTCCCACCCCACCACGAGGGCCAACACAACAACTCCCTTTTACCTTGATACAAATCGAGCCTTCCTCTGAACCCGCATGTACAAGGCCGGAGAACAAATGCAATTCTCACGGCGTTCAAATTCAATTTGCCATAGTGGTCGACTTTGTTGTGATGACATTCCACTGTGAAATAAACACAGATGGGGAGATTATGATCTACTCAGAAATAAATGACTTCTGTCCCAGGAAATTGAATTCCAAATATGGCGTATTTCATGCTGCATGGCACTGTGATGCAATTTAGATAAGTTCTCCGGGGGGGTGACTGTTGATATTTAAACATTCAGGTAATGAGCCTTATAAATTAATCTGTGTGACAAATAATAGAAAGACAATACATCTACAATCCAAAACAAAACAGTTTACCTTTCTAAACGGTAATTACCAAAACAATTTCCATACTGTACACACTGGAATGTCCAGATGCCATGGGAATTGTAAGTGCTCTGCATGTGTGTGTGTGCAAGAGGGGAGGGCTATGTCGGAACAGGAAAAGCACTGATGCACAACAACAAACAAACAAGGGCCAAGCATCGGTAATGAAGTCCTCATTAGTCCTTGTTATGCACAAGACCGCAGCGGAGCGGCAGACAGCGCTGCCGTTTCGGACTGACCAGGGCCAGAGCCTGGAGCGGGCATAGACCCCTGCTCCCTGGCTGCAGGAGTGGGCGTTTACCCCAGAAACCCTCTGTGTTTCCACCTCGGTTGGCAGGTACAGATGAGTGTTCTGGATCAATTTTGTAGAGCGGGAAGAGGAGGAGGAGGAGTGACTTTTGGCCAATGGCTACAGGCCTGGTATACAGAGTTTGGCTCTTGGGTGTGCAGCAAATGTGCGTTATCAAAGAGTTGCATGAGGCATGCGGCGTGGCCTTTCATGTTGTTTCAGGGAATCAGGACAGGTGGCTGGACCAAAGACAGAAAATATGCTCACACGCAATATGGAGTTTGTATAGAAAGACAGAAACAGTTGGAGATAGTGATGTGAGAAGTGAAAACAACAGTTAAACATAAACCAAAAGATATCAGATAGGAAGATTAGCGCACAGCACCAGATGGAGGCAATCCAGAAAAGGACACACAACACAGGAGGCCAAAAAGAGATTAGGTGAGGCAGAAAGTGATGGCCGCTGAAAGGAGTCAAGTAGGAGGCGGAACAAAGGCTGATTGGTTATTTTATTTCCCATTCCCCTCAGGCACGCCAGGTCTCATTTACCAGCTCTGTAACTGCATACACCTGACCCAACACATCAGGATAACGTCCAATGGGCAAGTTGCACGCACACACATGCTGCACACACATACCTGGCCCTACTACACCCATGCTTTGCTCATAGCTGGCTACATGTTGGAGGGAAAAACTCAACTCTTTGGCACGTTTAACTAGAGGCTTAAGGGCAACACTAAAATCCTGATTAACTTTTAAGTGTAGGTTATGCTAAATGTTCTCATATTAGTTCAAATACATTGACATGATGCATAGAAGGGAGACAAATTTGAGATATTCGCAAAAGGACAATACAAATCCAGGCGACGCATTGATTCGACAATCCAATGAAAAACAAGCAGTTCGATCAACTCTGATTATCTCCAAAGCAACAGGACACTCCCTTTCAGCACATAAAAACCGACTGGGGATTCAAACAAATCGATCTTTGGGGCCTCACCCACGGAGCCACCTTGTACAGGGTACGTTCTTGGCACCTGTTGCATTTGAACAACAGAGCCTCAGTACCTGGGAAACCAGATAACAACGGCGGTTAAAAGCCCTCAGTCGCTCTGGCTGTGTCAACAATGGCACCCCCCTTTTTGCTGCCTGGGCACACACTAGTACGCACACGCTCAGACGCACCCACACACACACACACACACACACACACGTAAGCATGAAAAACCATGCACTTATTCATGCACGAAGCGTACTTGGAGACCATGCGTAGATCGTGTTTTATTCGGTTGAGTGGAAATGCATCCGTCAAACACAATATGGAACTGCTTTCATCTTGCATGGCAACCACATGATAATTATGCAAATCGTGAATCCAGACTGGAGACAGAGTTAAAGGAACACACCCTCTACATGATAATTACTTTGGATTTGTGAAGCAAACTGTCGTAAGTGTAAAAAGAATCCAAAACTGAAGAAAACTCTTGATTAAGCCACATAAAAAAAAACAATGTTTGAATAATTCATTTCCTGTGCAGGTAAAGGAGAAAGACAGTTTTTTTGTCAGAATTCAAGGTAACGCAAGGTGAGTAATTGATATGCAATGGGTCATATTAGGTTTCAACAATTTGTATGTCTCAGTATAAGTTAGAGATGGGTTATGCAAGAATACTTTCAGCTGGTTATTTCCTGGGGATATCGGGAAGTTTATCACAGGTGTGATATGGCAGGTGTGATATGGCAGTTAAAGTGGAAAATCCATCCAAAAGCCATATATCTCTCTGAATTATGACTGTGGGGTGTAAACAGATCTAGTCAAAGTCAGTGTCTGAGCCGTCCTCTATTATCCTCTACATCTCCATTCCAGACACACCCTTCTACTGGCAAACACATAGAGGAAGAGAGGAGGAAGAGCCACATGCACATGTAACTCTTAACTTACATTCACAACCATTATCATATCAGTCTTTTTTACTTTTTGTTGTGTAAAGGTGTGCTTGAAATGTACTTCCAGAGTCAGAAAAAAAATAAACCTCTCTCCACATTTGTGAATTGAGCTCTACAGGTTGCCTAAGTCTGGTTCAACAAGTTTTTAAGTGTTGAAAATGTAAAAAAGTTATGTTCAGCTACACTGTGTCACATGTTTGTGCCAACTAGGCACACAATAAATGTGCACACATCCGAACACACCGAATTCTGCAGTCAAATGTGTATGCAAATATGACATACACACACACTAAAATGAAACCCCATGATGCAAATATATATCATTGAAAAAATAAGGCATGGATAAACGTGCAACAGGTAGGGGAGGTCCAACTACAAAATGCTGACTCATACTTTTCCCATTATGCTTTTCTTTCATTAGAAGCTATCAAGTTGCCTACTAAACTTGCAACAAATGCTTTTATTATCTACACATACTATGTGACAAGACAAGACATGGCTAACACCCCCCCCCCCCCCCTATGACATCACTATGACATCACAAGGGTCGTTTTTGGAAGTGTTTCCCCTCCATTGAAAGATTAGACACTCAAAAGTAGGATAACTCAACTTTTATCAGTGGAGTACCCCTATACGATTCCACCATTTGAATCATTGAGTGCTACTGCTTAATTTCTCTTCCTTTCACCATGTTTTCTCACCTGGGTGATGAGCACTTTAAAGTGGTTCCTCCTCAGCAGGTGGCTGTGGTTGGCCTCCAACTTCTTCACCTGCACCGCCTGTTTGTCCATGCGCTCCCTCACATCCTTCAGGTGCCCGCTCACTTTGCGCGAGCGCTCGAGCAGCTTGCTGACGCTGTTGGAGGTGTTCAGGTGGGTCTTGGAGAGGCGGGTCACGTCGCCCTGCACGACCCGCACGGCGCCCTCCAGGTCGGCCTGCCGCTGCTCCATGCGCTGCTGGTTCTCCTGCACCGCCTCCAGCATGTTCACAAGCTTGTCGAGCAGCGCCACCACGGTGATAGCACTCACCTGGCCGCCGGCTCCGGGGCTGCCCGGCACGGCCGCGGTGGGACTGGTGGGCATTTTGAAGCCCAGCCGGGAGAGAGTCCCGGTCGGTGTCGGGGAGGACGGGGCAGAAGATAGGCTATGGCTCGGGATGAGGATCTCCATGTTTTCGGGCTGCTGCTGCGGGATGGTGTGTGTGCTGCCGGTGATGCTGCTGCCCTCGGCGTGGGACCCGTTTTCTGCCATGGTTCACAGGTGGTCAAATGTCCCGCTTTACAGGGATAATTCACCTAAGAGTTTAGCAGGAGTTTGACTCTCTTAGTGCTGCTGTCACCTGCCCCAGCTGAGAACTGGAGGCTGGGTGTTTTACTTCTTGGAGTTAATTCGACGGCCACGCCCCTTTCTATATTTCTCGTTACACACACGCACGCGCGCACACACACACGCGCTGTGAACTTTCAAAACACCTCCCCTGCAAACCAAGGGAGGGGCATGGTTGCTATGGGAACCGTGCAGGCCAAGCCCTATTGACAGAAAAGAGGTAGAGTTGGTGTGTGTCCTTCCTTGTATGCTGCTAGCTTGCTTTGTTTTTTCATGTGACTGCCAACAATTCCACTTTGTGCAAGCCTCGCTGCATTTGCAAAATATGCTTGAAGGTTACTTTTGTTTACTGCACTCACTGGTGTGCTGTTGTAGCCTACCAAATTGGACAGGATTGCATTGTATCAAGGGGCATTGGCGTGTGTGGGACCCACAAAAACAATAACGTGAAGATAAAAGTACAATGCAAATCAGAAAGGCAGTGTTTCTACAGCTGCGTGTTTCCACTCACATGCTGTAGATAAATCCTGGAACATATTGTCTTTATTTCAAAGTCTATGTATGTGTCCCTATGCCCATGGATGTGTTACAGATTGGGTTTACTGTGCATAGGCTCAGGGGCCCAAAGTGTCAGGATGCTCCTCGCCTTCACTTGCAGTAATGCCACTCAATGTACCAAACAGGAAGAGACTTAAAATAACCACAAATAAATATAAGAACTACAAAGACATACAAAAGACTACAACAGTTCCAAAAGGACTACAACACTACACTTTTGCATGTCTGTGGCCAGGGGGACATTGTCTCCTTATGCGCCCATGACTTTTCCTATGCTTATAATGTTAGTGTATTGTTGGGTGTGTGTGCCCTATGATCGCCCCTTTCCTCTCCCCTCTTGTTTTCAAGCTCTGTGACATGGAATGGAACACACTGACATGGAAATGTGGAAATCCCTGTTTCAACAATGAGCTCATCCGTGCCCTGGCATGATGCCCTGCATGGCCTCTCTCTCAATCCTTCTCTTTGTCACTATCACTGTAGATATTTAATTCACAGTAACACAGCCGCTCTTTCAATTCAACTTGTTTTGAAATCAAATACATATGTGGTGTGTGTCAGTGTGTTGCAACAAGTGTTGGTGTATGTGTGTTGTCATAAAGGGAGGGAAGAGTGTGTGCTTAGGTGTGGAAACCTACTGCATTAGAACTATGACAAGGATCTATTTGATCACTGCAGACTATGGGAGGAATCCAAGCCCACACCTGAGTTTTATTGGATTCTGTCTGATAAAGCAGAGGCTTGGTCAGCTATCATCAAACCTAAGATCAATACAGAGTATTTACACCCTTAGACTGCGATTAGATTTTCTGCTACTGCTTGTATTTACACACTGAAAAGACACACCTAAGAACTGTGTTAAACTATTTTGGCAAAGTCCAAGTCCTCAGATTGAAACCACAATAAAAAAATCCTGCACAATACAGCCCCTCCACCTCTTAACTCATTGGTTACTCAACGTAACAACACCAGACTGACCACTAGAAGCTCCACACGTGGCGACCTATCAGTCCCATTCAGGAAGAGTACTTTTGGTCAGTCATCATTCTCGGTCATAGCAAGACAAAACAGGAATTCTCTACCCACTCAAATCAAAGACATACATACACATACCACCTTCACAGCTCACTTAAAAACATGGTTCACTGAGAACTACACCTGCACACACTAGTCTGTGTTGAGTATGGCGTGAGTGTTACATGTTGTGTTACATGTTGTGATCATGGATGTTGCCCCTCGATTCTGTTATGTGATTGTGATGTGCTATATGTGACATGTAGCCTACTGTATGTAGTAACGTGTTGTTTATTATTCTCTTTTATCCTCACACCGGTATCTACTTGTCTTTCCTCCTTTTTATTTTATTTTATATATTTTCTTATAACTAATGCTGTTGATATATTGTAATTTTCAGGGTGTCTATTACCATCTGGCCGGGGACAACAGCTGGAAATTAGCCATGTCGGCTAAAGCTGCACCATTTACTGTTTTTGTGACAGTTCATCGATGGGGACTGTCCACGACACTATAAATAAATAAACTAAACTAAACTAAAATTGCCTTATTAAAAAAATATTTGGGAAATGCATTTATTTGATTTCCTGCTGAAAGATTAGCCTAGATTAGCACAAAGGGAAAACAAGGGGCGACCTCTGTGTCCTGAAAATGAAGCCAATGTAGAAGTTCCCTAAACTATAGAAGTCTATGAGAAGGTGATCCTCCTTTTCACTTGACCTATAACCTCAGTAAACATATTCCTGACGAGATTATGATCAAAATAGCTGGTTTCATGTTTTCTTCAATACAGCATTATCAGTTCGCAAATTAAGGTCTCATTTAGAGTAAAATGTATGATTGGAAAGTTGCTACAACATACAAAAGACACTCTATAGGAAGTGGCCTGTTATTCTTTTGATAATGTACATCCAAATGAATATCGAATTTGACATGATGAATTACAGATTAACATTGCTAACCAAGCTAGCTAGCGTGGATGTTAGCTAAAAAGGTGGGTTAGTTTGGTTGTTTTTTATGCTAACAGTACCTGGGTTTGCTGTGCCTTTTGCTCGCTCCACCCTTTCGCCACTTCCGGTTTTGAATACGGCCAAAATGCCAAACTTAGTAGGCTACCAATGGCGTGACGTGAATAAGCAAGGCTAGCTGTTTTCAGTTGTTGTGCTAAGCTAATCGACTGTGTCAGTAGCTTTATATTTTACAGACAGATGAGTGATATCAATTTTCTTTCCTAACTCTTCATAAGCTAAAAAAGTTATTTTTTAAACTATTCCTTCAAAAGGAAACTAGTAGGCCTACCTTTATTTAAATATAAGCCATCGTTTTTCTCTTATAACCAAATGTTCTTAAAAGCTACACATATAGTCAGAAGTGCTCTTGACAGATTCTCCCATGCCAATATCCAGGACTAACACCTCTTCTGGAGGTTACTCGGTCGACAAGCTTCAAAGCTGTCGGAGTAGAGTGGAAGTGCTAGACACACTCGCCTGAACAATTTTCCTTCCTCAAAACTCAAACCCCAGTATCTCTGACCCCGTGCTCTGCCGTGGCTTCTCCTTGGAGGCACACACTTTTGTCAACATAAAAGTGTGACCTTCCATTCCTAGCGCTCGAACTCTTGACTTTTCCCACTTTCACCCCTCGGATAGAACAGAGGGAATGGCGCTCCCATCCTAATTTTTCCAGCTGTCCCCCTCCTTTCCTTCCCTCTGCTCCCCCCTTTTCTCCATCACTCCCTCTACCCTTTTTCCTCTTCTCTCATATCTTCTGCTTTCCTGAATTCCTCCAGTGTTCCCAATCGTCTGGTATGTTTCACACGTTCCCAGTGTTGTGTCAAGGAATGCTGTGCCTATTTTACAATAACACTTACTATTTATTTAAGGGTCCTTTTTGCTATCAATCCTCCTTCAGTTACATATATAATGCAATAATGTCATACACACATGCTGTCAATGGGTTAAATAAGAGATAGTTGATTGAGAAAAACAAGTTGGCAAATTTGCCCTCTGGATGTGTAATGTAATTCTAAAAATGAAGTTATTGATAGACCTTTTAAATCAGAGCCATTACAACAGTTTCAATCATAATTCATGTATTTTTTCATTGTTCTCAAAGTGTTCATGATTGACTGATTTCTTATTTTGCCAAAGAACGTAGTCATGCTCAAATGTTCACAAAACTACAAAGGAGTTCAGCTCTGCAGGAGGAACAATTTGATAATTTCAGCAAACATGCTGCTGCACGTCACATCATCAAATGAATGAGCTTTGTTTGCTGGGAACCTTCCTGGAGTTGCTCTAAACCCTTCAACAGGAGGTGTGGCATCACTGTAACCGTTGGCTGTTGGCATACTACCAGGGCGGATGACTGATCTGTTTGAACATTAAAATCAATCTTGTCCGGTGGGATTATTGGTAAGCAACTTTCACAAAAGTAAGAAATATGGTCCTTTTTCTTTCCTGAAAGTATACTAGTTTTGACCTGAAGCACCAACTCACAATGTGTTTTGCAAACAAAATGGAGATCAAATGGGATTAGATTAAACTTTTAATACACATATTTAATCACCTGCACTGAGTAGTTTCCTCAATTGTTCCCTTTCTTTGTTCACCATTACATGTTCTAGAGTCCTTTTCATTGCTGACTGCATGCATTGACTTCAGAAGATGATCAGAGTTGCTGTCGCCCTCCGGGTTGCTCCAGGCCACATGCTTATCTAAGAGCCTGCTTAGGATGGATACAAGAATGTAACGGAAACACCTTCGAGGCAAACATCACAAGGACTTTTATTTATGACGGTTCCCACATAGACAGATGGTTTGATAACATATGTCTGTTTTCTGCTTGTGAAATGAACAATGTACTGAGACAATGTAGGTCCTTGAGTACAACCAGAGTATGACTATAGCATATTGTTCTGGTGTTTCAATGGCCAATATTAACATCAGTCCAATGGACAACAAATGCAAAGTGTAAAAGTATGTGTCACCTCCATTTGCAAGGTCCTGCCAAAAGACCTTAGGTAGCGATGCAGCTCAACACAATGGTTAGACATTTTTGGAATTGTTTTTGTTTTTTAAACTGGTAGCCAAAGAATGCAGGATAACCATTAACAGCCTTGGACTACAGCACAATGCAGAGCTATTCATCACTTTTTTATGGAACTTGAGGTCCAGTCTTCACAGGAGAAATACAGAAATGGGAAAACAGATTTGATAAAAATATTTATTTTAAAGTAATTTAAGGTGAAAATCTCATGGGGATGATTCAATAACTTGTACACAACTGACGTTGGAACAGTGATGATGGGACTGGAGGAGAGTAGACAATATGTTGCTATCTGAAGCATTCAGGTTTTAGTTCAAGTAGTATTGACCAATCATGTTTAAGTAAGGAGTTGCAAGATAAAAGCATGGATATGATAACATTACCAGGTATGCAAAGGTTCATGCAGATTTCTTAGGTCAAGGCAATGAAATACTTTAGATTTATATATTTGAAGGATAGACTGTCATTTGAAAATCAAAGTTATTTTACCACAATAATGGCCTAAGGATGCACACAGATTTCGCCCCCTACCTTTTTTTTTCAACAAAGGCTGTTCTACAGAACTGCTCATGCACCTGCTTCCTCACAGTAATAAGCTTTGCTCATTCCAGGTAATGTGATATTTGCAACAAAAAGCTTCCCTGATCAGTGTTTAAATGGGACCTGTGATTCTTGTGATTACCAACAACAGTCCCACACAGATGGTCATACCTATGATGATACGATGGATGCCCGGCAGTGTTTGATTTGTATAACCAGGTCAGACTGGTGTCTGGTCTCACAGTGGGACAAGGGGGAGCAATGGTACCCTTTTGTCGCTAAATCAAAGGCCCCCACAGAGAGGAAAATGGCATGCTGGGACCCAAACAGATGGCAATGGATCTTCAAATGACCCTTTTTCACAGACCAGCAGGTGTCTAACACACGCTTACTTAAAGGTGGCCTTGTACACTATTGTAGATGAGTGTGTGTGTGTGTGTGTGTGTGTAGGTCTTTTCTGTGGAACTATCAATTCTGAAGTTAATGGACCAATTTCCGAGGTGTTGAGCTTTACACACATGGAATGTGAGAAAATGCCTTGTGTAAGTGTGTGTTTGTTTGAGTGTATGTTTTCAAGTGTCCAACACCATCAATTTTCAAACCAATGGGCCAATCCTTCCCTGCCAAAGGAGTTGAGGTGTGGTTTGTTGATTATAAAATCAATATTGAAGGCTCTCCTGGCCCAATGGTTCCGAAAGTGTGTATTCCTTGAAGACAGCTACGTGCCTTTTAGCAAAATTGTTTGATTTTGCTTTTATTTCATTCATCACCGGTATTCCCACCATCAAATATACCCCATGTTGATCCATCAAGTAGTGGCCATTGTATTATTCAGTGTTGTGTACATTATTTACATTTGAATGCCTAATAAAACAAGCGTGCCTGTTAAGGCACGCAGTTGAAAATCATAAGGAGCAGGTTAAGGAATTATGCATTTCTAAGATAAGAGTCAGATTCCAAAGCCTGTCTGTTGGCTCAGGAGGTGTTGGGAATGTGCGCATAGGGGATTGTTTCTGTGAACACTCACTAGTTGTAGTGTGTTAAAAACAGAATGATAGTTTGGGTGTGAAGAATAGAGTAGAAGCGCTGCTGGGTGTATTGCGATCACAAACCCTTTTTCCACTGAAAGATGTTTAATTCAAGTTCCGTGTCAATGTTCATTAGGAGTTGGCTCAACTTGCAAACCTCCTCAAAACCTGTTTGCTGTTCCACAAATTAGAGCCCAAGAGGAGCCATGGGATGATGTAACCATGCGCATCACTGACAACAACAAAAAGGGGTTGCGTCGAAGTCATGTTGCTCTTACCATCTAACCAGATTGGATTGCAAGCTCAACTTCCCCAACAACTTTCTAAACATCTCCAAAAACGTTCTACTCTTCATTGAACACACTATGAACTGTTGTTGAAGTCACACATTCCGAGCCCCAGCCTATCATGTAAGCCTACAACATATGGGTCTCTTGGTGCTGGCCAACGAAGAGATGGTACACATTCCATTGCAGGTGAAACAAAGTCTCAAACAGATAAATGTAGGTCACCCATAAGGCACACTAGGGTTTGTGCGAAATGTATTATGCAGTTATCTGAAATGGCTATATGTATTTAAAATGAGAAACCGATTGCACCGAACACAGGTGTTTATCATGGAGCTGACCAGTGGATGTATTTTTTTGTTGTCATTGTCAACTATTGCCAAACTTTTACTCGTGTGTTTTACCCCAACACACACACACATACTAGTTTATGTCACCGGTAATGTAATGGCAAAGACAGTGACATTTTGTGAGAAAAAAAACATAGTTGTATAGTGGCCATTCGCAAACGTGACTGTGCAGATAGCTGCCTCATCATACCACCTTGATGACAATGTATGTTTTCAGTAACTAACCTGTGTATTTCACATGATGTGCAAATGTTTGAGTCAGTAAAAGTGCAATCCACTGTGGGACCATCCTTGCTGTCCAGTAATGATAGCATTCACCACATTCCTCGACCTTAGATGAGAGCAGATACTCAGACATTCACAGAAAGGTCCTTCCTACTCCTCCCTGGCCTCAGGCCCTATAGATTTGAGCCGAACCCAGCAGGAGAAGACAGGAAACTGACAGGATTACACTGACTGGGTCTGCTGGGTGCTACAGACACACACGTGGGTAAGTATAGGTGTGTACCCAAGGGTTGAAATGCAGGGTAGCTACAGAAGCCTGGGGGGCCAGAGGAATATAAAATGTTAAAACAAACTAATACATGCTTCAAAATAACTTTTATTTAACTAACCTTTAATTAAACAGATAATTGAGAAATAATATTAATATATGCACAAACAGTCCAAATACATACAATAAAAATAAAGAATAAGTCCCAGAGATATCAAAACATTGTGACAATAGACTATTTTTGTATTACTTTATACATGCTCTCGATTTAATATTGTTTTTTTTGTCTCTTACCGGCCAAACAAAGCCATTCCTTAATTCAAAATATAGCGTATAGATTTATGTTGCCACGGCAAACAATAAAAAAATAAACAATTAATACAACTCGTGAATGAATGTGGAAATTGCCCGTTGGTTGGCTGTTTGGATCCTTAAAGCAACATTATAATGCTTTTCCACGAGGCAGTCTCAGGGCCAGTTTGGAAAGGGTTCAACCTGGGCACCATTTTTTTGTCAGCCTGTCACAAATATCAGAATCTTATGTCCGAAGCCAAAGCGTCATACGTTAGCTACAACAGGTAATGGCAATTTTCACAAGATGAATAAAATCGGAATGAACTCTAGTCCCACTGACTTTTCCACGAACATTTAAACCAAAAGCCTAAATTGTTTTGATGCTAAAGTAAGTCCCACTTTCCACCCTGAACATCTGTTTCTGGGACTTGGGCTTTTGGTGAGCTGGTTATACATTCTCCAGGTAAAAGTGCATGACGAAGTGAAGTTGTCACAACGTTTTTGGTGAACGGTTAAGCAGGGAGATAAAAGAGAAAGAGTCTGGGCCTAGACATTTTACGATGAGCATTTCAGTTCATACAAATGCTTCCTTATTTCAGATTAATCACACACAGACCGCGGCATATAAACACTTAAAAGTATAAATGCATAATTGCTTTACTTACCATACATGTAAAATGTATTTACATGCCTTAATAAATACACCTTCATAGTTGACATGGGTAAATATCTACATTTTTGTAATGTACTAAATGTATGTATTTCCGCGTTTATATGTTAATGAAGTAGATCATCACTCGAGCTCACACATCACAAAAACACCTCTGACCCTACCTCAAATTTTATTCGAAGGGGACTGTAACCGCTTTCGAGACGGCTTTTGTCTGGCCAGTGAAGTTTCTCCTTTGAGAAATCAAACAGAAAAGATACGTTGTCGGCAGGATTCGAACCTGCGCGGGAAGATCCCAATGGATTTCTAGTCCATCGCCTTAACCACTCGGCCACGACAACTTAATACTATATCCTGGTTGGGTAACAACTTTAACTCGGCCCAATAATAATACCCCTAAACCGAATCCTAACAATTCCTTCCAATTCCTTCCATTTCCTAACAAGGTCCTATCAAAGTCCTAACAAAGTCCTAACAATTCCTAACACTTTACCGACCCAAGTCCTAACAGGTCCTAACCGACCAATGACAGGGCAGTGTATCGCCACGTGACATTGAAACGGATGGTACCGCCCATTCCATCTCCAACAGTGTTGACAAGGAAATAACAGAAGAAAAAGTGGTATTTTCAAGCAAATTATAATAAACATGTATGAATATCAGCGTTATTGTTAGGGACACGTCGCTTGCAACGCGGAAGATGTTAGGATTACAGGTACTCAAATTCTTCAGTAACGATGTAGTAGCGGGCAATGTTGTGTGATAACAAATACAGTGGCTCTGTCCAAGGTGGTGATGTGATTGAATTAGGTCCATCTACGATGGACAGCGATTATCATGATTGGATTATAGATTGCAGATCGGGCAGCCGGTGCCATACAAATAGTACAACTTGATACCATGGCCGTCATAAAGTTGGAAGATAAACGTAGTGATAAAACGTTTTACTTCGAGTTGCTGAGTGATATTAAACTGGAAACAATCATGCACAATCACTCTGCTGCTCACATTTAGCTTCTAGAAATATTGCCTGTAGTGAAAAGCTGCTGTTAAAGGGAGCACAGTACCATCTAGTGGCGGTGTTTGGAAACATGTTGCTGATTAACATTCAGTGACGTTTCTCTTTATATGCACTCCACATTCAAACGTTGGTTAAACAGCGACAACTGAACACAATATGTCGAGGCCACGATAAAACATGAATGTATATAGGATGATATCTTAACCAGTTTTGCTGCTCTCATTATTTTTGATGAAGCTATTTCCTGTTGGGTTTGTGCGGTTTTGGAAACTGAGTGTCAAAATAGATACGAAGAAACAGTGGTGGAGGCGATATGAAGAGCCTTTGCTTGGTTCGCATATCTGTAACAATATAAACAGTAGTAGATTTCTGCAATTAAAGTGTTATTTAAGTTAAAGTAGTAGTTTTAGAAGTACTCAATGCAGAAAAAAACGTCCTAATATAGTATGTAAACAAATAAATCATAATGTAGTAGGGGAGAGTGGGGTAATTTGTGCCACGGGGCAAGTAGTTCCACCCCTGTTATCTAGAAAACCATAGAAGAAGTTGGTCATGTGACCACATATTTTTGAAGAGGCATCCATTTCAATCATCCTGCAAAGAAGGGAGACACATGGCTTGAGAGGTAAGCACATTTAAGTTCAAAAAACCATTTGTTGCCCTCCAAAGTAAAATTTCTATGATCAAGGTTTTTTGATTGCTGTGTTTGAATAATTTAGACAACTTTGAAAACAGTTCATACATGTTTTAGTGCTTTAGTAAGCTACACTATGAGTCTATACAGTTAGCATGATGCTAGCTCAAAACAGCTGGGGGATGCATTTTTTTCAAAATGGTGGGCTTGGGGTGATTTGTGCCAAAGGGCCTGGGTTAAGTTGTGCCAGTGGCACAACTTACCCCAACTTATTTACTATATATTACTTTATTGTATTTTATTGTATTTTATTGTTATTGTACATTGTATTCTTACATTTGATCACTAAAACTATGTGACATGAAGGTCTCCCTGAAGACGCCTTCCTCATCTTCCTGAAGCACTTCATCCGCCACACCAACTGCTCCACCGATCACCCAGTCCTGCTCATTCTGGACAACCATGAGTCTCACATCTCACTCAAGTCAGTGACAATTGCTAAAGAGAATGGGGTCATTATGCTCACCCTGCAACCTCACACCGCTTGCAACCATTAGACAAAACTGTCTATGGACCACTCAAAACCTACTATAACCGAGCGATGGATGGGTGGATGCGATCACATCCTGGGCGAACCGTATCGATCTATGAGGTCTCGGAACTTGTGAAGCAAGTGTTCCTCTCTGCAATGTCACCAACAAACATAACCTCAGGTTTCAGAGCAACAGGCATATACCCTTTCAACAGGGACATCTTCCCAGAAGAAGACTATGCACCATCAATGGTGACAGACAGGGCAAATCCAGAAGATGAACCCAGTGCCACTGCTGACCTGCCTGGAGAAGAGCCCTCCACCAGTGGAGCTGCTCACCTGCCTGGACCATCTCATGAGCCAACACATGTCACAGGTATTTAAAAAAAAAGTCTGGTAGGCCACTAGTGGCGGTGCGCATAGTGGCATGGCTCAGGCTTACCCTCCACCTGACCACGTAATCTTGTTGTTCCCTGTGTTCAATGACAATAAAGTTTCTTTCCTTTCCTTTCCTTGAAGCAGATCCAGACCCAGGAGAGCCACCTGCCACTCCCGAGCACTTATCAAGTGACAAATCTGGTTCTTCTGCTCACTTGGGTTATGTGTCTCCAGAAGTAATTCTTCCCTTGCCAAAAGCCACAGAAAGAAAAAAAAAAGTGTAAGAAAGAAAGTGAAAACAAGAATCGTGACCGACACACCTGAGAAGATGGAGTTGGAGAAGGCTCACAAAGAAAAAGAAGATAAAAAGGCTGAACAGGAAAAGAAAAAGAATGAAAGAGAGAAGAAAAGGGCTCTGAAAGCTGCAAATCAAACCAAAACCAAGAAGAAAACAGCTGTGTACAGTAGCTCAGAAGAAAGCTCCACCACCAATGATGAGGCAGAAGATGGCCTGGAGAAGACACACAGCAGAGAAAAGGAACGGGCTGAAAAGAAGAAAAGGAGTGGAAATAAGAAGGGGGCTCTGAAAGGGTCAAAACCAACCAAGCCCAAAAAGAAAGTGCTCTCCAGTAGCTCAGAAGAGAGTGACTTTCCGATTCCACTTATTATGAGAGTTCAGATGTCCAGAGTGGTGATGATGATGATGGTGACAAGGATCTGTCTGCTGGTGACTTTGTCATTGTGAAGTTTGCAGGTAAAAAATCCAAATCCTATAACTATGTTGAAGGTGACGAGATCAGTGCAAAGTTTCTGAAGCAAAGTTATAAGAGGTCTGTTGATGGAAAGCCCATCTTCACATTTAGAGAGAATGATGAAGGAGTCATCCCTAGAGGTGATGTGCTCAAGAAACTACCCACACCACAAAAACTTGGTGGTACAGCCAGAAGGGAGTATAAGTTCACATTCCCCTGCAGCATTGACAAGTGGGATGTTCAGTAGTAGGCCGAATCTGTGAAGAGATTCAGATGTAGATGATTTGCAGATGATTAGGTGCTCATTTTGGAATTTTGTTCTCAGTATGTGTTCATGTGGCGCTAGGTCCTGTTTAAGCAAATTGACCACACCACAAAACTTGGTGGTACAGCCAGAAGGGAACAGAAGTTCATATTTCCCTGCAGCATTGGACAAGTAGGATGTTAGGTGTTCATAGGCCTTGTTATAGAAAAGTGGCCTTTGATGTTGTTAAAACTTTAAATAAACATTAAATAAATAATGTTGTATTGAATTTGTCTTGCTTTTATATAGCATTATTGTTCGTGAGATTAAAATGATCTGTTTTACTTCAATTATCAATGGCACAATTTACCCCAGTGTATTGTCTCTAATGGCACAACTTACCCCGCACCGGGGGCAAGTTGTGCCACAAAACCACTTTTTTTTCTAAAGCTATATTTCTCAAACAGTTTATTTAAGATCCGAAGTGATTGTTCCCAGGGATGCACAACATCCTAAACTATATGTACATATTTTAGTTGGATGCATTACTGTAATCCCCTTGCTTTAAAGGCACTTTAAGTAAAAATTGGCACTACTTGTTTTAAAGTAGTAAACAAGCGATCAACGTCTTGCTAGTGCGTTGCATGATGGTTAGTCATTTTGTCCGACTTGCTCTGGAGGCTCGCCTACATGAGACGTTGAAATCTCGCGGGACAAAGACGCCCGCAGCCTTGAGAGCGAGGCGCGGCGAGGCGGCGCAGTTCCTCTCCACGGGCTGCGGAAGCGAAATGCTTGATGGGAAACGACTCGCTGGTATCTCGAGCTGAGCGCTCATTGGTGGTTTTTACCCCGTGCTGCTGATGAAACTCTCCAATTGGCTGGGCAAAAGTTTGTTGTTGTTTTGTGTCAGTTTTACGTCGCCACATCCATTCCCATTTTTCATCATTGTTCCACAATGTTTATCATCATTAAATTAATATCCATATATTTTATACTATACTTGCACTGCTTACCGTTTCATACTTTATATATCTTAGCATATTCATACACACTGTTCATACTGCTCTCAGGCTGCTGTATATCTAGTGTATTCATACCCCTCACTGTTTATTCATCATTCAATTCATTCTATATGTTATTCTGTAGATTGTGTACATTACTTTTCACTTTACTGCTTGTTGCACCTGGTTAGAAGCTAAACTGCATTTCGTTGTCTCAGTACCTGTAATCTGTGCAATAACAATAAAGTAGAATCTAATCTTGAGCAGGAACAAATGTATTTACTTAGTACATATCTGACATTAACGATTAAACACATGTGTGCATTCTTTATAAATGCAAACCGAGTCAAGCCGACTCCGGAGGTGGCAGTATGCACCTTAAAGTTGTTTGCAATCCGCCAAAAAACCGAGAGAAGAAGAAGAAGAAGGCGAAGCCGACTCCGAGGTGTCCGACTTCAGGCAAGCTTTTTGAGACCTCCCCCGGCTGCGATCGGCTACTCTCGTCTACTTTCGAGGCGAGCCGCAACGCGTCTCAAACAAGCCTAGCAGCTCTGTCCCCGTTATTTCCACACACACCCCCGCCTCTGTTTGCACACATTTACTGACACAAACATTTGTATCATCTGTTGTAGACCCAAATACATGAAATAAAATAAGAACTAATTCTCTAAAAAGATAAACGCCATTTTAAAAATGTATAAACGAACAATAGTTTGATTAATATTGATTAGAGTGCACAATATAAATAAAATAATTGAGAGAAGAAAAAGAGATATGTTATTCTTTCAAACACACATACGGGTATTGGGCCGAGGGCGACACCGTACTTCCGGTATCCGCCGTTTTACGCGAGGTGCAAGCAGGCCAAGGGTTTAGCCGTACACCGTCTAGGTGTTGCTAAGCTTCCTGTACTGAATATCAACTCTAAAATACCACATATATGCATTGGCATGATAATATTATTGTGACAAGTGGGGTATTCACCTGGTGTTTCCAGAAATTAGACGTAGATGCTGCCAAAATCGACGAAGGCCACTGTCGTTTTTCCATACATCTGCAGGCAGTCTGTAACAACCCACACAGCTCTAGTTTACGCTGGTAACGACCTAGAGCACACCCCTCAAGTCCAGAGATGTAATCCGAAGACATGCAGCGATTTCTTCGGTCGTTAATTCAGAAAAAAAACCTAGTTCGCTCTGCCTTGCTACGTTAGCTAGCTGTTTGTATTTGTACTTCCAGGATATTTGCACCTCCATGAAAATGGCGTATTTATATATATATATGGCGCGTGTTGCATTGTGGGTAGCTCGTGACATCACTGTGTGTGAAAGAATCTATCAAAACCCAGTTAGATTAACATTCATTGGATTGCACACTTTGTTTGTGTGGATATGTAGCACATTAACATTTTAATAGCACTTAATGACTGACTGAATGGAAATGACAATAAATGAAAATGTAAAACGAAAAAAGCGATCATGAAAATGTTTCCAAAAAATGAATAAAATGATTTTTGACCACTTTGTTGTTCAGATATATCACATATTTGTAACTAAATGAAACTTTAATTGAAACAAAACACGGTAATTGAGGAGTGACTCCCGTGAGGTTCATGTGTTTTCTTCACTCCGCTGGGAAACTGCTCTCATGTCAAGAAGCATCAGATCAGTGCATGCACTGCCTCGTCCAATCAGTGAGCGATACACAGTAAGGGGGCGGGGCGAGTATCTGAGGATTTCATCGGAGGATGGACTGGTGGTTCCTCGGTTATAGCTCCTCCATTATCGCTCCTCGCTCCTCATTCCTCGCTCCTCCGGCAAAAATAAGGCCATTGGGACGCTACTCAAGATGGCGCAGACAAATCAACTTCCGGTGAGACCGAGACCGAGGAGCGAGGAAATGAAAAATAAGAGAAGTGAGAAGGGCCCATAGCCTTGGGTCCTTATCACTTCGGTTAAATGGATTCCTTGCGTCCCTCACTTGCGTCGTTTCCCTGCGACTAGTCCCTCCCACGAGGGAAGCATGGACAGACGCAAGGAAACCACGAGAAGCAGGGAAATGAGTTTTAAGAGCAATGGGACGTTGTTTCCGTTGCATCACGTGAAGCGACGTCCTTTTGTGATGACGCCGCACAGCTGATCGTCTGACAGCAGAGGCCTGGGTTGCGTTCCGATAATCCAAAAATCAGCTCCTAAATTCTAACCCTATCTCCTATTCCTTGACCTCTGAGTGAAACGTCACGGGGTTAAGGGATAGTGGATAGGAGAATTAAAAAGGACTTAGGAGAAGAGACCGCGGTACTTTAGAGAATCCGAATGCACGTTCACTATCCGACGTGTTTATGATGCGCCAGCGGACGTCATGAATGTGCGTCTGCTGCTGTGGGGAAACTATGGAAACTACAGTTTTCTATAGCGGACTACAACATGGATGTTTAATAAGAACGAGGGGCTACTGTAAACTCATCTAGAGACTCTGCACCGTGCTCTGATGCTGTTGTTTTATGATTTATGAACGTGGACAACAGAGAAACATATTCTTCATGACCAAAGTTGGAATTGAAATAAAAAAGGAAAGTGAAACTTATGCTCGTCACCCTCTCCCTCCGGTCCACATTAATACAAATGATCCCAATACGTATGATTGTATGAACTATGAAAAGATCTTAAAATCAATACAGATGTATTTATTATAAACATTAGTCCTTAACATCTATCACTGTGTATATCACCATTCAAACATCTTTTACAAGTTGAACAAACCCCACACAGCTCAGTAAAGACTGTGAAATGTTGACTTTATTTGATCATTTCAGTAAAAACTAACGTTCATATTTCTCTTTTTGATTATAATACTGACGAACGTTCAGAAAAAAGCACTTTGGCAACTTACCACATACGTTTTAAAATGCTTAATAAGCACCGTAACTTTCATGATATCATTTCTCGGTCATAATCGGTTGTTTCCGTGAACGGCCGACTGTTGAGTGACGGCAAATGCTGCGGCTGCAATGCATTGTGGGGCAGCATTTCTCCTCTCCTTTCGGTTAGGGAGGTCCAGTGGTTCCTAAACTAAAGGAGGTTATAAAGGAAGTTTGAAACCTCCTTTCCTTTCATTTGGAGAATTGGAACGGCACTTATCATGGCTGCCACTGACGTACTTCCGGGTCATTTCACTCCGTTAGGAAGGTTCCTAAGCTAAATGGACTATTGGACTTCAGCCCTGTACTACGAAACTGGATTTTCCTAACCTGGATATGTTTGAGTTAGCCGGTTGGCCTAATCCAAAACATACTCGCTGTCGCTAAACTGTACTACGACGCTGGTTATCAAGTGGATCGCTCAAGCCAGCCGTGTCCTAGTTAGGTGCGCGTTCACATGAAAGGGGTGGTACTGGAGCATTCGACCAATCACAAACATGGAGAAGCGCACTGACAGCGCAGCGTCATACTTCCTGAATGAAAAGTGAACTTTAATACAAGTCAAATATGAAGAAGTTAAACTTTAAACATCCATGACTTAAACACTTTATCCAGGATAAAAGCCACATAGCTGCATCTGCAAGGTGAATACAGCTGGTAAAAGAAAAAGTGTTTGAATGTGTACATTAACAGGTTTATGATATCACTGCCCCGTCTAAAACACGATCTGACTTTAATTACATTTGTCTCGAGTGTTTCGTCAACTTAATGTGTTGCTTAAAATAATACTTCTGCATACAGTATGTGACACTGTGAGTGTTGCACGGCCAGATACGGCTCAAGAAGCTGACTGATAAGGAAATATATGATATATTATGATATTATATGATCGATGATCTGATTGATGATGTGATATGAATGATAAGTGCGACACGTCGGCATCTTCTCTGCATAGGCCTACGGCAGTTTAAACTGTATTTTCTTTTTCCTGTAATATGACTTTATAGATTTAAACTCCGCACACTGAGCTCTGATTGGTCAGCAGGCGGTGCTTTCACTGAGTTGATCTCTTTTCTATAGACGCCTGAGGCAGGCAGCGTCAGGTAAAACAAGTTATTCAGCCTTCCCAAACCTGAGCCTCACACGCCACCTATGACTTTATCATATTTCTGACATAGCCTACTAAGTCGTTTTTCAGATCTTTTTGGACATACTATAGCCTACTATTATATGTTTAAGTCATGGATGTTTAAAGTTCATATTTGTCTAATATTAGTTTACTTTTCATGAATGAAGTATGACGCTGCGCTGTCAATACACTTGTCCCTGTTTGTGATTGGTCAAATAACCCCGCCCCTTTCAC